CATCTTGCTTAATAATACAAGAACCCAAAGAGGCAGAGCTCTGAACTGTGCTGGTTTCAACAGTTTCATTTCCCCAATGGGGAAGAACTCACCATGCATGCTTTCACAAGAACCATCTCCAAGAACTAGTCAGGAGCTGGAAACAAAAGGGACAGAAGACACAAAGATAAATTACAATTAAAAAAAGAACTGACCTAAAATGTTTTTGCGCAGAGTGGCAAATACCTATATTCTTTTGATATAACAAAACACCGGAATAAGCTCTTTGGGTTTTCTTTTGCTACAGTGACTGATCCTCTGACAAGATTTGGCTGACAGTGTGATAAAGAAATACATTAGCCCTCCTAACATTGGAAAGTATAATGCTCATCTAAGTTGCCACAATATTAATCCGATTACCAAAGACATGAGAAGGTTCATAGATCTACCATAAAAGAATCTCCATCAGTCTGCTGGACCAAAACAAGACATGTCAAAATTTCTAGATATTGGCTTAATGGGGGGCACTAGAGAGAGGGGAGGAGGGACAGGAGGAGAGTGAGAAGAGAGAGAAGAAAGCAAGAAGGAAGTAAAAGAGAGGGAAAGGGAAGGGAAGACAACAGAATTACAAACCACCTTTCCGTTGTCCTTTAAGATGACAGTCAGTACGGGAGTCTCTCTTCACAGCTGTGACTAAGTATGAGAAGTGAGAATGAAAGACAAGAACGACCGTGAGGTCCTGACCCCGGTGAAAGGATTTCTGTTCTTGTCAGTGCCATCAGTAGCCTCAGGATCATTTAGAGTAAACTGACAACCAAAGTCCAACACCTTTGTGTGACTATCAAAATGGGCATACCCTATCTCCTCATGTGGAGATGTACCATTTTACACTCAATTCTTGCTGGCTTTGTGAGGTAATGACACGATTCTACATGTTTTTTCCAAGAAATAGAGGAAGTGGCAAGTGCATGGAGAAATTTGGGGAATATAATAAGGTACTGGCATTGTGTTTTCTTACATACATGTAGTTCATGATTTTTTTAATTTAATGAGTCAAGATAAGTTACTTAGATATATAGGAGATTCACCCACTCATTTTTTCCCCTTTGCTAGTCACCTAGACTTGAAGTGCAATATATATACGATCACTGAAGTTTAAAATCATCCCACTTCCAATCATAGCTCATTGCTTCTATTTCTTGGCTCCTTTAGAGACCACCATGAGCCCCGTGGAGTTTACCAATGACACAGACCTTCTGTGCTCTGAGGCCCACTGTGAGGAACTGGCTCCAACAGTCTGCATTTGTGTTCCCATCAGAGTCAGACTTTAGCTCATTTGCATGTGATTCTTCCTCTTTTATTCTCTTTCATTTGTTTGTTAAAAAGATATTTCCATCACCTTCTATGACAAAGAAAGGGAGAATGAATGTAAGTGAATTTCAGTTCATTCATTCAGCTTTCACAGTGGCTCAGAACAAGTGCGTTGCTACTGTTATAATTATTGGAAATCTTAAAATGCAAAAAATGCAAAATTCTCCAAGCCATGAAATTTTTGGATTAATTATTCATTTCTCTGATTAAAATCCTTCTCTTCTATTGTCTGTCATAAGTAGTTAAAATATGCCCTTCTACGTTATGTATTTTTGGAATACATTATATTAGAGGACATCCAACCTTAGTATCACTTATACATTTTTTACATTCAAATTAATATGAAATGTACTCAGATTTTTTTCCATGAGCAGCAAAAAAGCATTAGTGACCACAATTTTAGTTCATATATGTATTTAAAGTTATGTAAACCTGTACTTGTACATCTTACTAGGAGAGATGTCTCATTAACATGTAAACACCTTTGACCTTATAACAAAAGTTAAGGGAAATACTGTTTAGTCTTCAGATTAGAAACATAAATTGAATTATTGTTTAATGAAGTAGATATAGAAACAACTGTACAATCTAAGCAGATTTATAACAACACCTATATTAGTGGCTGTTAAATGTTAATATGAGGGGGATGATAAGATGTTTTTTCATTGGGTTTTGATTTTAGTTTTCTGGAGAGTGTTTTGTATGTTATTTTTTGGTTGTGAGCCTAGCCTTTAACGGCTGAGCCATCTCTCCAGCCCTTATATGTTATTTTAAAAATAAGATATTTAGAATCTCTTACAGTGGGTTTGGCAGAGGTATTTTTAGCTCTCATGTGACTTGAGCATTTTGGCTGCTGTTTCAGAATAAGAAAATACATTTCTTAAATAGGAGATGCTTATCAAACATTTATAGAGCAAAATTCAGAGTTTGCTTTTGTCTTTGTGATCTTCTAGAGTGAGCACATATCTGTTGTGATCTCTATGTGCACGGTTGTTTAAAAAACTATATCAGGTCTACTCAAGAAAAAGTGAGGTTAATATTCTAGTATTAAAATGTCTAACACCAGTTCCTAATTGTGCATATACACATGCCTTCATTATTACCATAGTGAATTTAAACCTTGAATTACATTAGAGCCCCCCAGTTGTAATATCATAAACTAAATGATTAGGATTCTAGCACATTATCCCTTCATTTCTTTCTGAAAAAAAAAAGTGAGGTTATTGTGAAAATGTGTTTCAGCATTCCATCATCAGGTGCATGGGAAAAATGATTTAGGTAACATTTAAATACAATTGCCTTTTCAGCTCTCGAGACACCCTGATAAAAGAACGTTATGCCAAAGGCACACACAGAAAGTTGTCATTTAGGGAAAGTTAGCAGCTGTGCTAATTGGCACACTTTGGCAAAGATGACTGTATTTAAAGAGAAAGTGCTGCCTTTGGTTTGCCTGACACTGACAGAGCTACTGCAGCAGGCTTTTGAGGAGAAATTAATTTCCTGTAATCAAACACTGTGGATTATAGTCTTTGTTCCTCTCGACCTTGGCCACAGAAACAACACCAAAGCTTTTTAGACAGCATTACAAGTGCTTTTGTAAAACAAGCTGGGACATAATCGGCACAGAAGGGTTTCGCCTGCTCCATACTGTAGACGCATAATGTAGTTCTTACTGCTCTGAGACTGAGAACCAAGGCTCTGTAAGCAACTATGCCGATGAGGGTTCATTTGATGAAGGAAAAGAAACTGACAGCCAAAAATGTGTATTTATGCAAAAGAAAACTTAGTGATGTTTCAAAGTGGGATTTCTCTTTTTAAAATGTTTTGTTATATTTTACGTGTGTGTGTGTGTGTGTGTGTGTGTGTGTGTGTGTGTGTGTGTGTGTGTGTGTGTGTGTGTGTGTGTGTGTGTGATGGGGTGTAAGTGTAAGTTCAGGCATGTGACAGTGAGTTTATGGTGTTCAGAGGACAACTTGCAGGAGTGAGTTCTCTCGTTCTATCATGTGTGGTCTGAGGATTGAACTTGGGTTGCCAGACCTGGCTGCATATGTCTTTATCTGCTAAGAAACCTTGCCCACCTTTAAAGTAGGTTTTCAAAGCAGTATAGGGCTATGTGCACTGGTAAATGTTTCCGAGCAATTAACAGGTACCTTTGTAGAAACATGCACAGTCCAATATGTATGTATGTAAATACATTCGATTTATCTATGGAATCTTGAAATGGCTTAAAAGCAGTGTGCATACATCTGAAAGTTATGACATTCTTAATCCACTACAACAGAAAAGTGGTCTATTTTTTCCCTGTAGGACGAGGTCAATAATGGAGATTCAAAGGAAGAAAACAGATGGTAAAAAAAACTATAGAGAAAATGGTTCAGGGTCAAGGACAGAGAAGCCTTTTTCTTTTTCTATTTTTTAACCATAGTTTCCGATCTTTGAAGGTAGAAAGCAGAAAACTGCCATTGTTCTCATAATCTTACCTACTGTACATCCCAGGCATTTTGTTTGTGCTCTGTAGGCAACCTCAATGTCTACCTTGACCTGGAGAGATACTAGACATTCTATACTCTATTCTTGTGCCTAAGGAAGGATTTGCCTCAACTTAGGGAAGTTTGGGTGAGGGTTTTGTAGCTGTCACACCAGGAAAGTGTTCTATTATTGCATCTTTTATTATCATTTATTACAATCTGAACTTTGTCTCAAAACCAACCTAGAAGGTATTGAAAATGGAGAAAGAGTACATTCCTGCATTGTTCTCCCAGGTTCCTAATTTCCAGTATTTATTATAGGCATGTACCACCATACACGAATAAGGTTCAGCTAGAAGGTCACTAGCCCAAGTACCAATGTATCTGTAAACGTATACTTACTATACCAACAAGTTTCCAACACAAAAGAGTTGTGTTTGCATTTACAATCATGTAACTAAAACTTTACTTTCTAATGCAGGTAATGAGGGCTTGAAAGATGGCTTCATGCTTAAGAGCTGGTACCGTTTTGAGTAAAGAATCTTAATTTGGTTCCTAGCACTCTGGCCAGGTGGTTCACACAGCTCCTTAAAACTCCAGCTCCATGGGATCCAATACTCCTGGCCTCTTTGGTCACCAGCACTCAAAGAGATAAACACACACATAACTAAAAATAAATTTTAAGAAACATACAGTTGAACTATTCAAAATGTCTGCATTATTTTATTGTTTGGTACCGTGTACATCCCAAGGTGGGATGAATTCTAAAGACATTCCTGTCTAGTTGTCCTGATCAGTCTACAGTTAGCGCTAAGTATTCAAAAGCCCCATCTATTTTATTTTCAGGATCATTTCCTTTAACATGACAGGGGGAAGCTGGCCTGATTCTGTCTGACATGTTGGGTTTATGGTATCTCGCCTGATGTGAAGGTGGTCCAATAGATCTCACTGGAGCTGCGGCATTAGCAAAAATTCATCTGCCAGAAGAACAGAAAGATAAATAGAAATAACCATCTCCCTTTGCACTCAGGTTGAGTCCCTAGATTATAGTGGCCTTTAGCTGGAGAAGGCATTATTTGGTGACGTAACACTTTCCCCCCAAATAGCGAGGACTTAAATTAACATGTTTGGTGGCATCCAGGAAACTCAATAATCACTCTGTTCTTATCCTGTTTCCTACAGCCAACCCCACCCGAGTGGGCGGCCGCGAACCATATCCAGGCTCTGCAGAGGTGATCCGGGAGTCTAGCAGTACCACTGGCATGGTGGTGGGGATTGTCGCCGCTGCCGCTCTGTGCATCCTCATCCTCCTCTACGCCATGTACAAGTACAGAAACCGGGATGAAGGGTCATACCACGTGGACGAGAGTCGAAACTACATCAGTAACTCAGCACAGTCCAATGGGGCTGTAGTCAAGGAGAAACAGCCCAGCAGCGCCAAAAGCGCCAACAAAAACAAGAAAAACAAGGATAAAGAGTATTATGTCTGATCCCAAGATTCGAAAAAGACACTTGTATAGAAATAGTCTTCATTTTATCTGAGACATAATATAAACTTATTTACTTTCCTTTTTATGAAGCACATACAAAAGAAGACAGGGAATGCAATCAGGAGGGAAAACTCTTTTTAAAAACAAACAAGCAAACAAGTATCTCATGCTCTTGTTTCTCAAAAAAACAAAAAAAAAATGAAGGAGAGAAGAAAGGAAAAAAATTCTAAAACAAAAATAAAATAAAATAAATAAAAATAAAACAGGGGCCAATAAATTCCCTAACATCCGCAGTGTTTTCATTTACTCTGCCTGTCTTTATGTTGCTGGAACATTCTAAAAGACGGTGAGGACCGCTCGCAGTCATAAAGCAAAGGAGTATTACATCAAGGCACAACACAAAACCAACACAAAACACAACACACACAAAGAAGCTACCTATGATCCTGGATTCAGCCAAAGTGCTAGCGCTTTTGTGAGAAGCCAGTGGGTTGGAGTGCCAGAGGAGAACTTCCGTTTGTGGGACCATCTGCAGATGATGAGGAGTTGGCCAGCTGGTGCAACTGGAGCAGCAGGGGTTGGAACTTGCATTTGAGACAAAGTGCTGGCTTTTTTGAAGACTCATGTAGGAACGCATTTTAAAAAGCCCCTTTCTGTTTGTGAGAGAATAATAAAATAAAAGTATGGCGGCCTTATTTAAAAAAAATGGGAAATATAAGGCACATTTTCACACTAAAATTTCAAATAAAAAAAATGAGAGGGCATAGATGCAATCACTGGGAAATTTTCATGCACGCTTACTATGTTACTACATATGTTTATATAAAACCCATCTCTGTGTGCTTTCTGGACTGTGATAAGTGACGTTTTATAGCCTGTTGTATAGAAAATGCAAACTATATCTCTGCTCTTCAGCCATTTTTGGTAAATTCAATGTTATAAGTGTTGCTAAGAATAGGGAGTTTTATGACATCAGAGCAACAATTATTTCAGACAGATTTTTTTGCCACCATCATAAATTGCCACAATTACTTACTTTTTTAAACAAAAATTACAGTGTAGTGTTTATTCTAAGAAAGATATGTATGAATGTATATAAAGAGGCTCAGCTACTTCTTTTCGTACATGTATAGCCTTCATTCTGTTGCATTATTAAGTTTTAGTATTTGTACGAAAGGTGTGAATTAGAAGGTGAAATATATACCTAAGTATCATATAATCCTTTTTGTCCCCCAAATACCCGTATTTCTATATATGTTGAACATTCACAATTTACACACACACACACACACACACACACACACACACACACATTCAGGCAGCCATCAGATATGATGGAGCACCAAACACACAAATACAAATTGAAAAGTGCAAAGGAAGACAGTTGTGCCAAGGTATTATGACAAATGAGTGATTTGCTTCATTGAGATCCTGATTCTAGGAAACCTCAATTCTTAGTCCATAGTAAAATGGAAACTTTTTTTAAAAAATGAAATAGAATATCACCATACAGTGCTACATAAATGTGCATCACTCGACAGGCAGGTTACGGAAGCAACGTTGGTGAATTCTGGATGCTGCAATGGAAAACTTAGTTTCCCATAAATATATATATCATGACAGGCCTGATCAAGCTTTATGGAAAGTAAGCATTTTCTCAACTAAAAAAGTATTCTCAGTGATTTTTGATTCTGTATTACTACCCATTAAAATCATCCTACATTTGTTCACTATTGACTACATTTTAACTTTTCTGGTTTTATATCATTATCATTAATATAGTTTTAGTTTAACATACATTGTGTAGTAATAAAGTATAGGTTATACACTTGTTTTGCATATTGTTTCAATGATGTTCATAGCAATAAATTATCAATGTGAGAAGATAATTCTGAAGTTGCAGGGTGATGCTTCTGCAAAAATTGGTCACATGACATAAACATCTCCTAAAAGAATGATACTAGGTTTCATAAAGGAGGAGGATACCATTATAATCAGCTTTAATCAGCAAGGCAAAAAAAATGCAAAACACTTTTGTGATACTTAGTTGATGAAAAATATGCCAAAAAGTGGCCTGGATTTCAGACATAATCATACCTTAGAAATATGTATATATTCTAGCAAATCACAGCTGCCAAGTAATTGTGTAAGAAGTCTTGAAGGCTTTTCATCGCGTGGAAAATAGACAGCATAAAGAGAAAATTTCATACCCATTGCTTCTGTTCATGTCTTCACATATTTTTAATTTGCTGGGTTAAAAGAAATCACAAGTCTTTCACCCCTCCCCCTCTCATTCAGTCTTACTCAGGGAAAGCCAGAGAAATATAAAAGGAACACAAAATCACTAATCTACAGATAACATATATATATATATATATATATATATATATATATATAGTTTGCTTTTCCATTGTATCTATTTAACATGAACTAGTTTCATCTAAAAGGATTTGAAAGATGGTGGAAAAATAACTTGAATTGTAGTGTTTTAAAAAGGTCTATCTGGGAGACTTAATGTTTGTCATTGATTTCAGTGTTTCCTCCCACCATAATTTAAAAATTTCACACATTGATAGAAACTATATGTAATTTTATTGACCTACACAAAATCTAGCAGGTCCCCCCTCCCAATGCAGAAGGAAAGGATAGGATTATGAGTTTTGGAAGGAAATAGACTTGAATAAAATCCAAGTTATCTTTATACTAAACATATCAGGGTCTGTGTGTCATTTGCAATTCACAGAGGATTTCACACTACCTGGCATAAACTGATTACATCTCTCGATTGTAACTTTTCTGACTGAGTATGCTTCTTTTTTATCCATGTAATAATGTGTTGCCTTTTTAAAAAACAAACAAAAAAAAACGATGACTACAATAATGTGTGAGGTGGTACATCCCTAAGATGTCAAAGAAAGGCCACTTTAACCATACCCTTCTAGTGCTTTGAGTGACTGGGTATCTGAGGGGTTTGTTTTGTTTTGTCTTTCTGTTGCAAGGCCAATTTATCCATTATTGGAAATGCTAAGCAAGTGAAATTTACTGTTTTGTTAATAAACTATTTCTTAATACAACTGTGGTTTATTGACTTTAAAAATTGCACTCGACACCATTTTGCCACTGCATTGAGCTGTGGGAAACTGTATTTGAAAGGAAATCCTTATCCCCAGCCAAGTAGGGAAAGGGAGATGGCTTGCCCCTTTCCTTGTTTTATTGCACATTAAGCCCCTCTGTCTTCATACATTCAAGATGCTGGTTCTCAGTGTCGCTTACCTAGAAACACACAGAACTAGCTGAGAACAATATGCATAAACACTGATGTCATAAATCCACTCTCTGTGTAAACTGCACTGGAATTCAAATTAATTACACCTGTAGTTAACTAGAGAGTCCGTCTCATTAGCTTTGATTTCCCTAATTTCCTCTCTTCTCATCTGTACTAAGAATCATATCAGTGTTATAAAGTGGTACTGATTATCTGAACTACTGTATCAGGTACAACTAAGTACACACAAAGATGACTACTATAGTATTATTTTATAGCAAGTGGGGCTTTGAGGAAACATAAAATCAAGTGCTAAGATTGTTATTTAAAAAATAAGCAAGCAGAAAAAGGGAAAAAAACTTTAGCTAATCCTGACACATGGATGAACAGACATACAATTTCTAAATAAGGTTTACGTTTATTTTTCATAAAACAAAGTATTTTCGTGGCAACTATAAGGATTCAGGTATTATGCTGGCTTGCCCCTGTCACCTGGCAGAATGCACTCACAGTACCCTCGTCAGTCCAGGGCTCCATGGTTGTGTAGTCTTCAGGCAGTTTCAAAGAACCCCTTTAAAACCCACCCACTTATGCTCTTTTTCTGACTCCTCTCTTTCCTGCTCTTTCTTGATCTCTGTTTCCTGCTGTTCCCCTGGGGCAGACAGGACTTTTCCTGTCTCCCTCTTCTCCTGTCCTCTCTCTGTCTCTGTGCCTCTTTATGTCTTTTCTCTTTCCTTTTCCCCACTTCCCTTTCTAATAAAACTTCTCACTAAGCTCTGTCTGCCGGGTATGTTTGTCCCTGCCTTGGTCACCCTCACCTGCCATGGAATCCGCCAAGGTCCCCCTCAAGCTTTATCATAACAGCAACCATGTGATCCATCACGAACTGTCAGTCCTACAGTTTACAGACCTTGGATATTTTTTAAACAAAACTTCCCAGAAATATTAACATTTTTCATTTTCATAGCAACGAGTTTCAACAGTAATGCTACAGGCACTAGCAGCTATTAATATATTGTTACACAACCATGTGTCATTCCTTTAATATTAATCCATGATTTGACATGTATAGGAGAAACAACCATATTTCTGTAATGTTTAAATTAAAGGCTATATAATTCGGATTTCTTTTTTAAATGTAGGGCATTTTAAAGAGTGTGGCTGTATAAATGCTACAATCAGTATACAGATGGGTCTCCTTTCATTTGAATCACTGTGATAAAATAGCTTGATAAAGAGCAATATACAGGGGAAAAGACTTATTCCAGTTTCCATTCCATGTTATAGCCCACCACTGAGGCAAAGTCAAGGCAAAAATTCAAGTAGTTAGTCACATAAATCCACAATCAGTAGCAATGAGAATTAAACACATGCACACAGTTTCTTGATTTGCTAGCTTTCTCTTCTCAAACACTGTTCAGAATTTCCTTACAAGGGAGTAGTATTGCCCACAATGGGCTGCATTGTCCTACATCAATGAACAATCACAACAGTCCCCTACAGTCTATGCCACAGACCAGCCAAATCTAGATAATTGCTTATTGAGACAGTGAAAGCTACCCAGCACACAAACCAAGCATTCTCAGATTCTTGACCTGTTGGGAACCTAGCATTCAATGATAGGCATCAAGGGTCATAGATACACGTGTGCATATTAAGATATGGTTCTAATTATGTGCATATATGATTTAGGTCAATATTTTCCCCGGTGAAAACTGTTTGAGTCTATCAAGTT